TCCTCCTGCTCTTCCGGCCTGCTACTCTGTGCTACGCCTGTGCTTACCTTGCTCCCGAAGACCTGATCCCTCTCGGTAGGGTAACAAGGGAAACGTGTTCAGTGCAGATCAGTGAGTAAGCACAAGCCCGCCTTGTTTCAGTGCCTATGCTTAAACTGCCCCCTGGCTGAACACTTTTTAAGCCTTTGGAAAGCTATCTCTTTTTTTTTTTTTTCTTATGTCCTTCACCTATTAACATTGGAACTTTATTTGTTATTTGTATAATGCCCATTTTGAAATACAAAATCAGAATAAATTTAAGAATAGTATATTATACATGTTTTCAAAACTTTCTTTTATATTCTTTTTATAGGTTATATGTAAAATCAGATGTGCCACTGAACTTGACAAACACAAGTAAGTTCTACTAGTAGTAAGATGTAAATATTTTTCACAGTAGACATCTAGAGGTAGAGGTGGGTGTTAGGTAAGAGTTCCTTAGCAATTTTATAGAATAACATGTAGATTGATTCAGAGGAAATGAATTGAGTAATCTACAGTTCAGTTCTCCCCTTCAACCATGCCTCTCCTTAATACGGCCTATTTTTTTCTGCTCTTCTTCTCCCCTGCTTCGAATCTAGCTTCATAATGTCCACAAATACAAAATCATATTATACTGTTCGGAGTGAGAATGTATAGTATAGTCCCATGAAATAAGTATTTTTCAGTACTGATTAATCTCAGAAAATGAGAATGCTGAGCTGTGGAGTCAGGAGGTTTGGTTTCCAGACCCAACTTTCTTATTAACTAACTTGCCGACTCTGCAACTCATTGACCCTCTCTAGGCTTTGGTTTCCTAAACTGCTATAATTCCCTGGATTCTTAAATAATTTCAGTCTTTTTTTGGACTTCAAACTACAAAATGCTTGTTTTATAATTAAATATTGTTAAATATTTTCATTATTTAACCTGAGAGAATATTAAAATCTAAACTTTTCAGGCAGAAATCTTTCTACTTTTCATGTACACTGAACAAGGTTTGTTTATTACAGATTATTTTAGGCATTACCTTCAGTTTACCTTGTGTAAACTATTTCCAAAAGGAGACTTATCTTTATGATTCACACTAAATAAAGTGATCCCAAAAAGATGTTACATTGTCAAATTTCTGAATTTTATACACTTGATTATTGTTGTTGTTACTTGCTGTTGAGTCAGACCTGACTTATAGTGACCCCTGCTTGGGTTTCTGAGGCAATATCACTACGGAAGTAGGTTGCTCAACCTTCCTTCTGAGGAGTGGCTGATGGGTTTGAACCGCCAGCCTTCTGGTTAGCAGTCAAGTACCTTAGGCACTATACTACCAGAGCTCCTGGTTATAAAAATATTTGAACTGGGATTACTTTCATACAGATAGCTCTTACTACTACTTGATAAAGATAGCCACACCTTACTTAAAGAGTTTTTATGAGGTGGTTCAATTTTCCTTTGGTCCCTGAGTGGCAAATGATTCACCACTTAACTACTTGCCAAAAGGCTAGCAGTTCAAACTTACCCAGAGACACCTCAGAAGACAAGCCTGGCAATCTGCTTCTGAAAGGTCACAGCCTTGAAAACCCTCTGGAGCAGTTCTCTTCTGCAAAGATGCGGTCACCATCAGTCAGAAGTGACTTAATGGCAACTAGCAACAATAATTTTTCTTAGGGGAAGTAGTTAAGTGTTTCATTTTCAGAGTTATTCTATATGCATAATAAATACAAAACTTTATGAAAAAATGAGGAGCTTAAAACTGCATATACTGTCCCTATATTCTTTGGTCAAGTTTGAAAGTAATGTTTACTATAGATAATCTTAGATGATCAATTTAAATTTAGATACACTAAATTAATTTTCCAGGCAAATTATGAAAGCCTAATTATTAGGATGGAAAGGTCAATGAAAATGTGCCCAATATCCAAGGTACAACAATGGGTCTCTATTCACCTGGAGCAACAAAGGAAAAAGAGTCAGGAATAGGAGGTGGAAATGGAATGTGTGGCTAATTGCCTTCATGAACAACAGCCTCCTTTGCCATGAGCCCAGAAGAACTAGATGGTACCCACCTACCAATAATGAACATTTTGACCAAAGATTCCATAGAAGAATCCTGATCAAAAGGGGAAAATACAGAACAGAATTTCAAATTCTCATGTATTCTAGACTTTCTGGAGCCATGGAGGCTGAATGAACCCCTGAAACTACTGGCCTGAGATAATCTTTAAACCTTTAACTAAAAACATTCCCCAAAGTCTTCTTAAAACCAAGCAGTTTAGCTTAACTAGTAAAAAAACATCTGCCTTGAGTATTATGCTCTTTTAAAATCTATCTATATAGCATCAAATTGACAACAGCAACTCAAAAGATTAGATAGGAATCTTAGGGGGCATTGAGTGTTAATGGGAGAGGAACTACTCAGAAAACGAGAATGAGAATGGTTGCACAACTCAAAGAATGTAATAATGTCACTGAATTGCATGTTTATAAACTGTTAAATTGGTATATGTTTTGGTATGTATATTCTCAGCGTTGACAACAATGTAATAAATACATGTTAAAAAATAAATATGCTGTATAGTTACAGAAAGAAAAGATTCAGGATTGTTTGAAATAGTGTTAATTCTTCCTAGTAGACACAACTGAAGTCCCTATGAGATTATTTCTGAGCTAATGCTATTTGTAAATAATTTGGATACCAATTTCATAATAGTAAAGAGCCCAAGTAACTGAATCACTGTTAAATTTGTATATAATAAAATTACACACATTTTACACTGAAGGAATTAGTATATCTAAAATAAACTAATTCAGAATTAAATTTCTCATTAGTTTTATAAACATCTAAAAAACTTGTATTTCTCTTTTCAGAATTCTACTGCATTTGGGCTTCATATTGGCAAGCCTTCTCTTTTTAGTGGTGAACTTGACTTGTGCAATGCTAGTCCATGGAGATGTCCCAGAAAATCAGTTGAAATGGACTGTGTTTGTTCGAGAACTAATTAATGATAGCCTGTTTATTCTCTGTGCCATCTTTTTAGTTAGTTACATATGCAAAATTACAAAAATGTCATCAGCAAATGTCTACCTCGAATCAAAGGTAAGTATTTATCTTAAATTTGCACTTTTCCTACCTACAGCCTGCACCTCTCTATATCACTGTGATTTTGTTATTGTCATCATTCTCCCATTGGATTCAGACTCAAATTTGGAGTATTCTGATTTTCCTTCATTCCTTCTTTCCTGACACCACCTTTGTGAACTTTCTTCTATTTTATAATGTCTCTTCCTTTTTTCTCCATGTGAACAACTTGACAAAAAAAGGAACCTAATAAGTCTGGTGCATGGTGGATTCTGATAGCTGTAAATATAGCTATCAGAATCCACCGTGCACCAGACACTGTTCTAGTTGCTTTTCACATTATTTCACAATCATTCTATAGGTAGGCTTATCCCAGTCTTTAACAAAAAAAAAAAAAGAATGCGATTCCAACGGGCAGAGGCACTGTGGACTATAAGGCCTTATATAACCTGATCAATGGCTATTCTTCTGACCTCACCTCCTGTCTCTCTCTCTTTACTGTTCCAACCATATGAGCTTTTCTTTTCCAATTCTTCATCACGCAACCCATATCAAGTTCATTCCAGCTGTATAGCCTTTGTATATGTTGTTTCCTATGCCTAAATTGCACTTCCTACAGATATGCATGTGTAGCTTTTTTGCATTCAGGTCTCAGCTCAGATGTTACTCTTTCAAAGCTGTTTTCCCTAAACATCCCAGGAAGGCTATTCCTCCATTCCAATTACTACATTCATCACCCTTTTTTGTTATCTTCATAGCATTTCTCACTAGCCAAAATTGTTCATTTGTTTGCACATTAATTTTCTGCTGCTCCCTTCTAAAGTAGTTTTCTATCTTGTTCATGTTTATATCCCTTTTGTCTAAAATGATGCCTGGCATGTAGTAGGTGTTAAAAGTAAATATTTGTTGAATAAATGCATTCCACGCTTGCATAAAGTCTTTGCCAAAGCCACTTTAACCTAGCAACCAAATGAGTTTTTACAACGGGGTTGTGTAAAGAGCAGAATTCAATCAGTAAGCATGCCCAAGGTCACATAGTTGAATCAGGATTCAAACTCAGGTCTGACCACAGATATTTTCTAGTATCTACTATTACTTATAATCATACATTGACTTTATTTACATGACCCTATATATAATTACCAGGAGCTCTGGTAGCATAGTGCCTAAGGCACTTGACTGCTAACCAGAAGGCTGGCGGTTCAAACCCACCAGCCACTCCTCGGAAGGAAAATGGGGCAATCTACTTCCGTAATGATACTGCCTCGGAAACCCAAGGAGGGGTCGCTATGAGTTGGGTCCAACTTGACGGCACATAACAACAACACCACATATAATTTCCAGAGCTCTTTATTTACTCTTTTAGGATACGAATTTTAAATAGTTGTAATAGGGATATATATGTTTGTATGCTTATTCATGACATTATTCATGTATATTATTCATATACATATATTCTTACTAGATTTTGCCATGCTACTATCCAAAAGAATAAGCCACTTTACACTGCTAGCATCATGTATAGATGTACTCCTTTCCTCTGCTCCATCAGTATGTGGGTTCAATTTTTTTTTATTTTGGTTATTTTCATTGATATGCCTTAAAAGTTTAAATTTAGTTAACTGATATGAATATATGTTTCCACGTAGAGATTAACTATCCACATCTCTGTCTGTAAAAACTATTTTTCAATTATTTATAGAGCAGAATCTTGGTATTTAGTCTTTATATATTTGGTGTATATGTTTTTGTTTATATTGAAATGTATTACTCTTGTTGTGAACACTGGCATTCATAACTAATAGTCTTGTATGTGTTTAGTTAAAGAGAGATGTTTAATCTCATGAAATCTTTCTTAGCAACTATTGATATTGCTAAGGAACTCTGGTGGTGCAGGGCCTAAGGCATTTGACTGCTAACCAGAAAGTTGACAGCTTAAACCCACTAGCTGCTCCACAGAAGGAAGATGAAGCAATCTACTTCTGTAAAGATTTACTGCCTTGGAAACCCAATGGGGATCTCTGTGAGTTGGAATCAACTCAATGGCAGTGAGTTGATTTTTTTTTTTAATTGATATTGCTAAAATTTGAAGTTTCTATTTATTCTACACACAGAATATATTATTTGATTTGATTTTCTTATGTTCTTTGTATTCTTGGGATACACCCTCTTATGTAATTTCCTTTAATGTTCTGTGTCTTGATTACTATCATATTACTTAAAAATTTGTTAAACCTAGACTTGAAGTAAAATTGACCAATCTTTTTTTTTTTTCCATTTTTTTGCTATCCTTATCAGATTTTAGAATATAAACATATTTATCTTATAAACTGAGATGGCTAGCACATACTATGTATTATAAAGTAGTAAGAACACAGGCTCTAGAGTCAGATTGCCTAGGTTTAAATCAGAGCTTTGCCATCTACTAGATATGTGACGTTGGCACTTTAGCCTGTCTATCTTTAAACTGGAGATAAGTATAGTAACTATCTCCACAGTAGTGCTGCAAGGATAGAATGATAATGTGCAGAAAACAAGAGTATACTGCCTTGCACTAAAAGAAAAAAAAAGCGCTACTATTGTCTTCATAATCATAGTTTGACACAGTTTGTACAACAAGCATGTTCTTACTTAGAAACCTTAAATTCTTCCATTATCTGTTTGGGAGAAAGTTTTCTTTGGTAAATTTTCTTGGGTTTTTTTTTTTTTGTGTTTCCTTATCATTTATCTTATTCATATACCAGTTTTATTTCAACAGAACTTGCTGTTTTATATAGGTAATTATCTATATTAACCTTATTATAAAAACATATTTTTAATTATTTAAAAGATAAGTTGGTAATATGAAAGAATATAGTTGAATATTTTTTAAAGTAATGTGAGGATTGACACTTAACTATATTTGGAACTCAGTGTAAATAAAACTTTACATCCTGCTTTCCCCTTTATCCTTTTTTATAATTATTATTTTTATTGCAACTTGGGTGAAATGTTATAAACCAGCTTTGTTTTACATTCAACAGTTAACACATTTTGTTTTGTGATACTGACTACAATCCCTGTTTAACAGCTTTCTTCCTGCTTCCTGCCTGTGGTTTCCCTTTCCCTGTGTCCTTACCTAAGCATTCCTTCCTCCCTAGCTTTCTGCCTGTGCAAATACTGCCCTTCTACTCTGCTATGGTTGATTGTTCTGAGGAGTGCATCTCCCTGGTGTAGTTGTTCTACTCATGGGTCTGTCTGTTGTTTGGCTGAGTTAAACCACAGGAGTGAGTCTAATTCTAGGCCCAAAGGGTAACTAGGGGTTATAGTCTTGGGAGTTTCACCAGTCTCTATCCAACCAGTAATCCTGGTCTTTTTATGTTTTTGAATTTTGTTTCACATTTTTTTTTTTCTCCCACTCTATCCAGGATCTCCAATTTTGATCTCTTCTGAGTGGTTGATAGTGGTAGCTGGGCACCATCTAGTTCTTCTGGTTTCAGGGTCATGTAGGCTGAGGTTCCCATGGTCCATTAGTCTCTTGGACTAATTGTTTCCATGCATCTTTGATTTTCTTCACTCGTCTTAGCTCTGGATGAGGAGAGAGCAATAGTTGCATCTTAGATGGCTGCTCACAAGCTTTTAAGACCGCAGCTACTACTCACCAAAGTAGGTTGTAGAACAATGTTTTTGTGTACTGTGGTAGTTAAGGTTGTGTGTCAACTTGATTGAGTGGCTGGGCAGCTGATAATAGTTATTCCTCATGCTGAGACTGGCAGTCAGCTCCGTGGTGGGGTCTACCACAAGCAGCTGAGTAGCTGCTTTAGGGATGTGGTCTGCTTCCTTTATATAAGCAGCTTTGGGAATAGTCGCTAGCTTATGGCACACTTGATGCCTGCATGTAGCCATGTCATTGTTCAGCAGGCTGCCATGCTCTGCTGACCTTGGGACTTGCAGTAGACTTGAATCAATGGCCTGCCATGTTGTTTGGTAACATTGGGACTATGCCTTTTTACTTGTCAGTCTTGGGTTTGTCAGCCTCAGCAACCAGCAGCTGTCTGAGAGACGAGAAACCTCTAGCTTCAGTGTGCTGGGAACAAGAGGCAGAGCTGAAGCCCAAGGTCAAGGGGCTTTCACTCAGCCCCTAGAGCCTGGCACTTTGCCCTTGGACTTCTAGCCTCCCAAACTGTAAGAGGATAAGCTCCTGTTGGTTCAAGCCCACCCATTTGTGGTATATTCTTGTCAGAATGGCACTAGGTAACCAAAATATGTACTGTGTTAATGACAGTTGACTTTGATGTCCCTCATGACTATTGTCTAAAGCCAGCATGCCCAGGAACTCACTTCTTCAAAGTGCTTAGTTGTGACTAAGAAGGCATCCTAACTTTGTGCCCTGTTAGCTCTATAATGCATATAGACATTGTTAGAGCATATACAAATATGTATGTAGAAAGACTGTCTACCAGCCTTATGTATAAAACCAAACTCACTGCCATCGAGTTGGATCCAACTTGTAGCGACCCCTTCTTAGGTTTCCGAGGCATTATCACTATGGAAGTAGATTGCCCAACCTTTCTTCCAAGGAGTGGCTGGTGGGTTTGAACCGCCAGCCTTCTGGTTAGCAGTCAGATGCCTCAGGCACTACGCCACCAGAGCTTCCACCCTTATATGTGGTCATGAGTATATTCCCATTTGCCTACCCACACTTGATCTTCTTGCCTGTCTACCTATGTATCCACTCTTAGATTAGTGTTTGTTATTACTGATGGTGCAGTATTGTGTAGGTAAAAGTGTTTAACTTTATTGTCTGTCCTCTTGTGCACCTCACCATGTCTACCTTTTCCTTAGTGATATTATGCTGGTCACACACTTTTGTTATATTGCCTTTCCTTTTACTCAAATCAACACTTGTCTCTTAACAATCCAGCGGTTTTTCCCACTTGCCCTCCCATCCCTGGTAATCAACAAAGATAATTTCCTTCCCTGTGTAAACCTTACCTTGACATTTTATAATAATGGACTCATACAATATCTGTCCTTCT